AAAATCTTAAACTTAAATCACGTGACCAGAACTATCACCAATGGCAGAGCAGTATACTGATCACGTGTCTCTGCCTGTATCACGTGACCACTTTACTGCACTGTCATTGGTGGATTTTCTGGTCAAGCAATTCGGACGTGTAAATAATATTATGAATTAAATCTATTAAAAATAGAAATAACAAATATAAAATTAGAATTGGAGTAAACCTAAGTAATAATTAGCTTTCTCGGGGATATTATCGTTTTCAGATTGGTTGCTTATTTGCTGAATTTGATCTATTTAAACCCACTACTTTTATACAAAATTGTATATATATTAATTTTCGTATAAATTTGACACAGTTGTAAATCAATTTCTCGAGATAGGAACATCAGATAAAACTTTCATGGGTCGCGATCGAGAGCTAAAGTGATTAGCTTTCAGTCTATACCCCCTTTCATTTTTCCTTTACTGTCCCTTTAAATTGAGTTTTAGTTTTTTTCTACTATATGAATTTTGTTTCTAATTCCTGCTGACGTAAAATAATTTCGATGAAATAATTTAAAAATCAATCTTTTAAACCCAAAACGAAACTTTTACCAAACAAAGCGTCTATCTACAATAATAATCTCTATAGTTTCTAGTTCTGGTCGGGGGGTGGCCATTGGGACACTTATTAGTACAATATTTCTCTTTGTGTGTACAAAAAAGTTAATCAATGTTGATTGTCAACTAATAAATATACATTGTATTATGAGAATACTGTATAGATAGAAGGACATACATTAATATAAATGCAATTATATAAACTTTCGAGAAAAAACTCAGCGGTAGTAGAGACTCATACGATACATAGTTCAGTAAAAGAAATTGTATTTTTTCTTTTCTAAACAAAAATGGATTCTACCTCAGAAATCATATTTTTTAGGTAAATATTTTTGCCCTCAACCGCTGGGTTTTAAGCTTCTACATTTATGAAAATATGTTTTTACAGTGATTGAAGACAAAAATGTTATTTAAACAAGGTGTTATTTTTACAAATATATAATATTTTTGTTTCTATTTTTTTCTATTGGTTGAAGACATAACATTTTTTAGAAGAATTTATTTTCATTTCTTAATTTTAACCGCAAAGTATCTAAACTTATATGTCACAAGTGCTCTTTCAACTACTAACGCTGTATTTGTTTTCTCCAAAGAATATAGCATTGATTTAAATACTAAACTGTAAGGTAGAGTCACATATATTAATCAAATATAATTTAAACTGCCTTTTATTCGATTACATACAGTGAAACCCTTAATAACGAATACATCGAAAGAATTCATCAAATGTTGTATTCTTCACTTTCTGATAATGGAATGTTGCAGATATTTAGTTTTTTAATTAAATGATTATATGGAACTCTTTAAAACTGTTCCCGCATATTCATGGCTATTTATTTATTTTCGCAAATACTGAAATTTACGTCATATAGTATAAAACTCATTGAAAAATTGTCAAGACGACATTTGATAAATTCTTCCGATGTATTCGTTATTAAGGGTTTCACTGTATTATATAAAATAACAAAATACGCGGATTTGTTAGTGGATTTCCAAAAATAAATTTAAGAATTAAGTTATTTAAAGCACTTTTAGCAAGTTAATAAGTGAGTGAGAAAACAAACCTGTTTGCCATATAAGCCTGTCCTCCGAATATAAGAAGCATATAAATACTACTCGCGTAAGCACAAACTGCTCGCCAATTCTCTTGCATCCATGTTTTAACATCAGTGTGCTCGAAATCCTAAATTCAACAAAAAAAAATGTATTTTCTGAAATTGTTACTTTTTTAGAGGATATGCGTACAGCAAAGTGAAAAAAAAAATATTTAAAGGGACCGTAAGCAAAATTTCAAGTGACCCTTCATTTAAAGAGGGGTATATTTGATTCACAACCGTACCATTTAAACCTTTAAAGGAAAATATATTAAAGGAAAGATAATGGAACAAAAAAAGTTGTTATTATCATTATTTTTATGTTATTATTATTATCATTATTATTATTATTATTATTATTATTATTATTATTATTATTATTATTATTATTATTATTATTATTATTATTATTATTATTATTATTATTATTATTATTATTATTATTATTATTATTATTATTATTATTATTATTATTATTATTATTATTATTATTATTATTATTATTATTATTATTATTATTATNTGGGGACTTGTGAGTTGTGGTCATGACATTATATATTATTAAAGTTATAAATGATGGTAAAAAAGTACGTGTAGAGTGCAGACACTGTTAGGACTCAAGGGTTGGACGCTGTTATTTTTAAACATAAAATCTTTTGGTTCAAAAAAACTTCTCTAAAAAATCTGAACCCTTTATCCGATCAAAAATTTGGAAAATATTATAGTTGTTCTAGATTCAGAAGTGTTAAATTTTGATAATTTTTGTTAATTTTCTTTTCTGTAGTATAAAAGCGCAAGTCACTTTTGTAGAGAAACCACAACGGAATATAATTAGTTTTCATTATTATAGACATTGATATTCATACTTGATCAGACAACATCAATAATATCTATTATTTTTCATCATCATTGAATTCAAATTTTTAAAATAAATTCCTACACATTTCTTTAAAATTCGTCAAATGCCGATTTAGCAATGAATTTCTGTTTTGGAGAAGAATCGAATGTTACAGAAACAGAAGAGAAAAAATAACTTATCTATTTTCAGATTTAAAATCTACTTTTTCTTTCTTTGACATTTGTTTAAAACAGAATAACTGTTATATTTCTCGTCCGGGTTTTAAACTTATTTTTGAAAAATAAATTCTTTTTTTTAAAGAATAGAAACGTCCAACAGGTAGGAAATGAATCCTGACATGTTTGTTCTAAAACTAGTTTAACAAAATTTCGAATTAAAAAAAATTTATTTTGAAAAAAATTCAAATTTTTTATAGCATTTGTTACCCGGCCCGGTATACTTAAGGGTTCCCAAAGAAATGTCAGCCAATTCGGTCCAGCTGGTATAGCTATCATATATAGATAGAATTGAGGAAAACTTGTAATAATGGATGATATATGTTACAAGCTTCATGAAGCAAAGATGCCAAACGGACCAATGCTTATAATCAACAATATCTTAGACACATTTACTGAAACTATTCGAATCAGAAGAGTTTTTATTATTATTTTCATCTATCTAAAATCGGTTACTCCAAAAATTGATTCGCAATATTAAAAAACATTCCCTTCTTTTCCCTTGTATTTTGACGGAAAACATAATAAACCACACACAAAATGTTTATGTAAAAAGATAGGAGAAAATTGGATTAGACAGTGGCATCGCCTAATTATTAGTTATACACTTTCCTTATACATTAATATTTACATGTATACATCATATGTATATATATGTATATTCAATATTCATATATATGTATATTCAATATTCATATATATATACATCATATGAAAATTTAACACTTTTCAAGTAGAAGAAACGAATATATTGTCACAAACATAATTTATCATATGGAGCTATAAAGGCTACCGTTGCCTCTAAACTTCCACTTTACCCCCCCTTCCCTTGACTTTCCACAACAATTTTAATCTTTACATAGGTATGCAGTGTTATCTTGAATATCCAAAAAAATGCAGAACTATTAAAATATTAAATATTGCATGTATTCAATATTAAAGATATACGAGGTATTGACAGGTAAAAAGGCATGAATAATTTTTTCGTGTGTGTTTAATAAATAATTGTTACTGTATTCTTTTTGAAAAAGAATTCAACCAAAATATTAATCTATTTTAATAGACAAAAAGTAGACAAACATTATCTTAATATTGACAAATAGTAGACAAACATTATCTTAATATTGAAAAATAGTAGACAAACATTATCTTAATATTGACAAATACTAGACAAACATTATCTTAATATTGACAAATAGTAGACAAACATTATCTTAATATTGACAAATACTAGACAAAAGTTTATTTTAATAGACAACCATTGAATTAATTAGACAAATATTTAACTTATTTGATAAACATAAACTGATCCGAATTGTCTAATAAAAAAGTTTTTCTTTTAAATATTAAAAAAAACTAATGGAAAAAACTTACGGGGATTCAGTCCATCGACATTTTCACTCTGCTTGTGAGTTGTATTTATTAAAAACTACAATTAAAGAAAAACAATCTTTTTCTCTTTTTATTTCGACATTGCCAAAATATTCCACTATTTTAAGAATTTTAGGTCAATCACTTGAAAATGTAAAACATTTTACTAAATTTGTGGAAACTAGAAAATGAATTTGAAAGAATATCTGACCGGCAAGCTAGTGTATAGTACGTACGGACTCAATTTATAATTTAGACGTTTATTTATGAGTTTTTCTAATGCTTCATATAAGAGAAATGCGCAAGTCACTTTCACCAGAGAAAACGCAAATGAAAACAAATAGTTTAACAGTTTATAAACAGCCTCATCAATTTTTAAAACAGGGTGGACTTTGAAGTGTCACAACGCCTTTTTTACCGCACTGACTCAGTTATGCTTGTCTGCATCACTTTACATGTACATTTAAGCACAGTACTGTAAAGCACTTGGTGTTAGGTTTGGTTTTTTAAAAAGTAATTGGCAAAATTCTCATCGATTTTTGCTTGGGAATTTGAGACCTTTAAATCACAGTGAGGGTACCGCGTTCTAAATCGGCCATTACCATCTTTGCATGGAGGATCACATGAAATTAAGCTTATTCATTACGCTTGTAAAAATGATAATTTTCACTTGTGGTTTAATTGTACCTATCAAAAATGTTTTTTTTTTTTTTTTTTTTTTTTTGCAGCAAGACAAGAAAAGAAATTAACAAAATTTATCTCTTTCAAAAAAGGAGAATAAACTATCTATATTGGAGAAATTTTTTTGGAAATAAACTTTGAATATTAGATTTAATTATTTAACTTGTATATAAAATCTATGGAAGGTAAAGAATCACTAAAACTTATAAAATAAAAATAAAATAAATAAAAAAAAAACTTTTGGTTCCGTTAAAGCTTTCTTTTATAATCATAACACAATCAAAGTTTTTACTGAAATCAGTTAAAGACACATTTAAATCAGTTAAGGTATACTTTAAAATCAGTCAAGTATAGGCTAAAATCGGCTACAGTATACTCAAAAATCGGCCACAGTACACTCTAAAATCGGCTACAGTACACTCTAAAATCGGCTACAGTACACTCTAAAATTAGTTAAAGTACACTCTAAAATTAGTTAAAGTACGTTTACACTAAATTTCAAATAAAGTACACTCTAAAATCAGTTAAAGAAGAAATCCTAAATCAGTTAAAGTAACTGTAAAATCAGTTAAAGTACACTAAAATCTGTTAAAATCTCCAATATTCTAACCCTAAAACTCTGCTAGTGACTCATGCCGGTTAAAACGAACATAGCCAGAAGTACAGCAAGTTGACCCATGTCTAGCGTGGCAGCTAGCCTATGATCTCTAACTGAACCTATTCCCCTGGACGGATATATCCCTGGATATCTCCAGTTTGTATCCTGAACTGTTTAAAAGTATCCCTGGGTATCAAATGTAACTCTATACTCTTGTTACTGTATGAGCGAAGGACGGTGCTCTACTGCCTGCACTGGGATCAATACAAGGAAAGCCGGGACTTTCCGTGGTCCCCCCCCCCCCCGGCATATCCATTCATTATTCTTTAAACCATCATCCTTACATTACCCATCATTCCATTCTTCATTCATCATTCATTTGTACATTCATGCTTCAAGCTTCCATCCTACATTCTTTCTTTACCTTACCAGCCTTAATAATAAATCTTCCATCTGTTCCATCTTTCTCGTCATTATCCATCATCCTTTAGCCCGCCATCCTTCATTTTTCAATCTTCCATCATCCATTATTCATCCTCTACTTATCCTTTAACCGTTCTATATCCGTTTATTCCTGATACGTTCAATTATTCATCTTAATCCATTTAAACTATAAGTCACAATCAATTTAATCGTTCTTGTTTTGTGTTGTTACGTTACGTTTTTTAACAAGATTTTTTTTATTATTTATAAATCTGTCCAAAAATTGATACCTTTAGTTTAACGGTTATTTGGTGGGGCTTTTTATAGACAGACATTTAATGGAAAAAGAAAAACATATTTCAGAGATAGGAGATTTCAAATATATTTCACAAATAGGACATTTCAGAGATAACATATTTCAGAGATAGGAGATTTCAAATACATTTTACAAATAGGACATTTCAGAGATAACATATTCCAGAGATAGAAGATTTCAAAAAAATTTGACATTTCAAAGATAGGCCATTTCAAATATGCATCAGCTTTTGTTTCTTTACTTGGATTTGAAGGGGAAGGGGAAGTTGGCAAGAAAAAACATCTTCACGACTAAATTCTGGGGGAGGGGACAAATTTGTTAAATTGGGATAAATAAGCTTAAAAGAGGGCAATGCAATTTTTAAGAGGGGTAGGGACTAGGGGGATATATTTCTAATAGGGGATATTGTACTTCTTGAATTATAACGGTTTTTTTTTATTTTGCTAAATATGGTATGGAAACCGCCCTAAAGTGTATCCGAACTAATATTTGTGTAGTTAAAAAAATATCGCATATGTTTAACTTCTGGTTAAACGTACGTAATTATTAATAAACTTTGATCCCGGCCCTGAGGCCAATTGTGTAGTGAACAAACGAGCATTTTTTTTAAAGGAACTTTAAAATTAATTTAAAGTAAGACTCAGGGGGGATG